CACTCCCTGCTGGGCGCGTCACGCCCCCGAATCCTGCGGGATCTAGTCGCGTGGGCTTACCTGCTCCACAAACCACCCACTGCTGACCACTCAGGAAACTATTCCCTTCAATTCTGGCCCCATGGTCTCTTCCTGATTCGGTGTGGGTTTCCCTTTCTGTGGAAATAAATAGCTTTGCTTCAAATCTCCGTCCAGTTGTTTTCAGTGTGTTCTGAAAACAAAGTTGCTTGTGATATGATTTCTCATATTTCCACTGACCAGATTCTCTCTCTCTAGTGACTAGTGTCAATCACCACTTTCCTGGGATCCACTTTAATGAAGAATCAGCCAAAGAAGTCTTCCACTAAACCCACAGTAACATTCAAGTCCAGTAAAGCCTGGGGGAAGAAAATGGGCTAAAAACTGTCCCTCTGTTCACTCTAGGTAACTTTAAAGAGCTCTTGCCCAGCCCGGTGTGGCTCAGCAGTTGAGCATCCACCTAGGATCCAGGAGATCGAGGTTCGATTCCCAGTCAGGGCACTTGCCCAGGTTGCGGGCTCCATCCCCAATGATTCTCTCATCATTGATGTTTCTATCTCTCTATCCCTCTGCTGCCCTCTCTCTGAAATCAATAAAGATATATATATAAAAAAAAAAAAATTAAAAAAATAAATAAATAAAAAGCTCTTGTTTCTTTCAGAGGAAACTTTTGTGATAGGCCAATTTATTATAGAAACCACGTTACCCCCTGAACTCAGGCAATTCTATATTCCTATTTATAGAACCAACCTCCAGACTGCACGTGTGTGTGAATTAAAGAAGTCATTTTATCACAGTTGAATCAAAGTAGAAGGGTTATATTTATTCAATAAGCATTTCTTGAGCACCTACTATGTGCCAGACTTGTTCTAGGTGCTGAGGAAAAAGTTGTGAAATATCAATGAAATAACTAAGATGTTACCATGAAATATTCAGCATCAGAGAAAGGTGTTAGAGCCCTGGCCAGTACAGGTCAGTGGTTAGAGCATCAGCCCACACATCAAAGGGTCACAGGTTTGATTCCCAGTCCAGGGCACATACCTGGGTTGCAGGTTCAATCCCTGGCCAGGTCGGGGTACATGTGGGAGGCAACCAATGGATGTGTCTCCCTCACATCGATATTTCTCTCTCTTCTCCCCACCCACTCGCTCTAAAAATCAATGGAAAAAATATCCTCGGATGAGCATTAACAACAATTAAAAAAAGGAGTTAGAGAGCCAAAAAAATTATACATACAAAAGAAAATCGAGGCAATTCTCTAGGAGATTTTAGTCACCCTCTCCCAAACCAAACCTCCCCAAACCTAGCAACACTTCTAACACTTCTGATCATTTATTCATTATATGTGATAATAATTATGAGCTTGAACTAACAGAAATTGAATTATGTCTCTCACTTACTAGTTGGGGACCACTGTCAAATCAGTTCACATATTTAGACCATGATACCCTTATCTGTAAAAGAAAATTACTAAGGCCGCCTGCTCATAGAACTGTTGTAAGAATTCCATTTAATGCTTGTATTGGCACGTGGTCTCGCACAAGGTAAGTACTAGATAAAAGCTGATTATTATTCAGACAAAATATCTTAACCTTGAATTATTTGGATAGCTCAATTGTTCTATTCAATTATAATTTCAAGCATCTTCCTAAGATGCTTTGAGACTTGCGTAGGGATGTAAATTTAGAGGCAACAAAACATACTTAAGAAAGGATTAATAGACTGACTGAGGATGAGAAATTCAGCAACCCAGCCTCTTGGTCACCCCCGGAGGTCACCAAGAGCTACTTTGCATTTTCCTTCCCTAGCAGCTCTTGTGAAATGATTGGGTTGTATCAGGAACAATTTTAAACAACAGTAAACAAAGTTCATCTTTTAAAACCAAATCCTAGAAAGTAAGCTAAAGAGAGCATAAACAAAGGAGGCTTCTGGCCCTACATGTAATAATTAGGTCCTTTATCAGGAGTGGTTAAATGAAAATGGAAGAAAATTGTTTAATGGGAAATATTAAAAAGTGTTATTTTTAATCCTTTATAAACTTAATTTTTTAGTTGATGTATAATTGACATATTATATTAGTTTCAACTGTACAACATGATTTGGTATATGTATACATTGTGAAGTGACCACAGATTTTCATTTGTGATGAGAACTTTTAAGATCTATTTTCTCAGCAACTTTCAAATCTACAATAGAATATGATTAACTATAGCGACCATGCTGTACAATACATCCCCAGAACTTAGTTATCTTCTAACTGGAACTTTGTTCCTTTCGAACACCTTCACCCATTTTGCCCACCCTCACCTGATGCTACCACCAATCTGTTCTCTGTATCTAGTATCTATGACTTCTTTTTTTTTAAATTCCATATAAGATGATATGGTATCTATCTTTCTCTGACTTGTTTCACTTGGCATAATGCCCTTAAGGGTCCATCCATGTTGTCACAGAGGGCAAGATTACTTTTTTTGATGATGGAATAATATTTCATCATATATATGTATATTCCACATTTTCTTTACCCGTTCATCCACTGAAAAACACTTAGGTTATCCCATGTCTTGGGCATTTTAAATAATGCTGCAATGAACACGAGGGTGCAGGTATCTTCTTGGGTTAGTGTTTTCATTTCCTTCCAATAAATACCCAGTAAAATTACTTGATCATACAGTAGTTCTACTTTTAATTTTCTGCAAAACTTCCATACTGCTACCAACAAGGGTTCCCTCTTCTCCACATCCTTGCCAACACCTATTTTTCATCTTTTTTATAAAAGTCATTCTGACAGGTGTGAGGCAGTATCTCGCTATAGTTTCGATCTGCATTTCCATGGGATGAGCGAGCACCTTTTCAAGTGCTTGCTGGTCATCTGTATGTCTTCTTTGAAAAAAACATTTATTCAGATCCTCTTTCCATTTTCTAATCAGACTGTTTTTTGTGTCTTGTTTTACTAATGAGTTACACGAGTTCTTTATATATTTTGGATATTAACCCTTTATCTGGCATATGTGACTTGAACACATTTTCTCCCATTCCACAGGCTGCCTTTTTTTGTTGTTGCTGGTTTATTCTGCCGTTCAGAAGCTTGTCAGTTTGATGTAGTCCTACTTGTTTATTTTTGCTTTTGGTACCAAATCCAAAGTATCATCACCAAGACCTATGTCAAGGAGATCACCCCCCGTTTCTTCTAGGAGTTTCATGATTTCAGGTCTTATGTTCAAATCATTAATCCATTTTGAGTTAACTTTTGTGAATGATGTAAGATAGTGATCCAGGTTCATTCTTTTGCATGTGTGTGGCTGTCCAGCTTTCCCAACATCATTTATTCAAGAGACTTTCCTTTCCCCATTGTATATTCTTGGCTCCTTTGTTATAATTAAATTGACCATGTATGCATAGGTTTACTTCTGGGCTCTATTCTGTTCCATTCAACTATGTGTCTGTAAAAGTGCTATATAGTTTAGTAATTTTATAGTGCAAGTTCTAGAATACTTTCCCCACGATCAGCTAATAGTTTGATTTCTTGATATTTTTCTGTTCCTTGCTAAACTCTCAGAACTCCCAGATGCTGTGATTGGGAGGAATTTTATTACATAACGAGAAGAAAGATCGTGCATTAGAAGAAATGTATTTTAGTGAATTATTTTGAAGGTTTAAGAAAAATATTTAAATGTTTCCCTTAAAAATCTCTTACTGTGTACTCTGCAGGTGTTGCTATCTTACTATCTTTATACACCATTGTATTTACCTATTATATCAATTCCAGGACTACCCTTGGATAAAGGCAATAGCAGTGCATTTGGATTAGCAACTTCTTGAGGATATTCCTGTCTTGCCAAGTTATTTTTCCTTCTACCAGGAGAAGTATATGCATTCATATTTCCAGAAGAGAGGATTCTTCTAGCATACTGGTCCTTGGTATTGGCAATCTTGTTCTTTTCAACCCTGAGTGCCAGCCTACTAAGCAACAGAAAACTCTGATTCTGGGAAACTTGGGCAAATACACACTAGTCGTATCTTTTACAAAACTTGTCATTTCCTTTCTCTTGAAATTAGCGCAGTCTATATTCCTGAGGACTGGTAAAGGGTTAAACAATCTGCACACAGGCTCAGGCAGTCACATATCGGCGTCCCCCCTCTTGGGCTTACTTTCTGACTTTAAATTTGCGTCCCAGGGCGGAGGAAGGTGTAGGACGAAGTGTCAGCTCTGCGCGCCGCTGGAAGCATCTCGGGCGGAGCGAGCGGAAGTGACTGAGAAACCCCCGAAGGACCGGCGTCTCCCCTCGGGGCCGGCGCTCAGCCCCTCCCCCCAGACCTCAC